GGGTGAAAGAGTGAGACTCTATCTCAAACAAACAAATTAGAAAGATGCTAGAAAAAACTCCGGCAACATAGCTTCCTAATTGCTTAATGAGGAAAGGCCCAATAGCAGTGCCCAGGAAGCCCAGTAAGGAATAGGCTGATATGTAAAAACCCAAAATTTCTGCTTGACAAGAGTGACCTGAGCAACTCTGTGTGCTACCTCAAGAGTGCATAAATAATTACTTTAAAATAGTTCTCCACCTGAAGACAATGGTCCTGGCAGTTCAGGCCTGTAATCCCAGTACTCTGGGAGCTCACTTGAGCTCAAGAGTTTGAGACCAGCCTGAGCCAGACAGAGAAGACCCCATCTCTAAAAATAGTTGGGCAATGTTGAGGCAGGCACTGGTATTCCCAGCTACTTGGGAGGCTGAGGCAAGAGAATCACTTGAGCCCAAGAGTCTGAGGATGCTGTGAGCTGTGATGCCACAGCACTCTACTGAGGGTGACAAAGTGAGACTGTTTAATAAATAAATAAATAATTGAAGACAGTGCTCTCAATGTTATTTTACATGTATAGTATTCTAAATAAGCTCTAAATAAGTTTCATCAGTTCTGGAGGAAAGTTCTTAAATATTCACACATTCCTTCAAACGTTTTGTGTTTCAAAATCCTGTGGGACGGTGGCGCCTGTGGCTCAGTGGGGGAAGGCACCAGCCCCATGTACCATGGGTGGAGGGTTCAAACCTTGCCCTGGCCAAACTGCAACAAAAAACTAGCCAGGCATTGTGGCGGGCACCTGTAATCCCAGCTACTCAGGAGGCCAAGGCAAGAGAATCGCCTAAGCCCAAGAGCTGGAAGTTGCTTTGAGCTGTGACCCCACACCACTCTACCGAGGGCAATAAAGCGAGACTCTGTCTCTAAAAACGACAACAACAACAACAAAACAACATCCTATAGGAGTGATGCAAGCAGCAGAAAGGGCAAAGGGCACCCTGAGTGGGAGGAGCAGCGGCTCCCACTGTAATTCTAGAAGCTCTCAGAGCCACCGACCCACACCCAGGCCACCAATTCCTGATCAGCAGAGTTGGGTGGGTGGGTGGGGAGATACATGGCAGATGACAGCTGTTTCTGCAGCAGCCAGACAGATAGCAGAGCCAGCTGGGGAGAGCTCCTGAGCAGTCATGGGCGGCGCTGCAGGGATAAGTGCAGAGGTGCTGAAGCTCCCAGGTGTAGGGACAGGACAGGGCAGTGGGGAGGAGACCCATGGGGCCTTAGAGGCCCTCCCAGGAGCCAGGCCTCATTCTGAGTGTGGTGGTAGCCATGGGAGATGGGGGAAAGGATCAGAGTGCAGTTTGAGGGGTTCTCCCCTCAGGTGTCTGGGTAGAGAAGAGGCTGAAAGGCACAGGTGCAGGCAGAGAGAGCAGCAAGGTAGTGGCTGGCAAGGGCAGGGTGCCAGGTGGGCGGTGCAGAGCTCCCCTGCACACTGTAGAGTCCAATAACAGGATTTTGAATGGAGAGGAGAGTTGGGCAACTGCGGGTCCTGGCAGGGCCAGGCTGTAGTCCAGCCTATGAGACCACAGCCGGGCAGTGGCCTGCAGGAGGGAGGTAAAGCGGGTCATTTGGTGGCCCTGAAGCTGGGCCTGGAATTGACTTCGGGGGAGTGGGGAAAGTGCACTGCAGTCCCAACCCCTGCTGCTGAGCTACTCTCTGTCCTCTCATAATTTTAGTGTCTGGACCCCTGGAATCACAGCCACCCTGTCCTGCTCCACACTGGCCCAACCTCTCCATCCACAAACACCACGGGGGACAAGAACCCGGAACCTCCTTGGGAAATGGGCCAGGTCTCGCCAGCAAGGCCTATGACCCAGCTCTGCCCCTTCTTGTGGTTTCTGTTCTTAAAAATCCCACCATGTGGGGTGGGGCTTCTTAGCAGGTAGAGGCTGACGGGAGTCTGTGTCTCAGGGCCTGGCACGGCTGCAGTGGCAGAACCCAGCCTGCCCCCTGGGCAGCCTTAACTAGCAGCCTTGATATCCCCAAGTGGGACACCTCAGATATTCTCAAAGACCCTTAGGGCATCCCCATCTCATGGCCTGACTCAAGCCTTGACAGTTTGGAGTGTTCTGTCCACAGCATCCAGCCCACCCGTCTACATTGGCTCTGCAAACCCACTCTGCATCACCAGCAATTCTCTGCCAGGCAGGTTGTCTCTGCCAACAGACAGGACAGTTCTGGCAGGGAAGGGGGAGCAGAGACAACCACCATCCCCCCACCCCACCCTTGGCACAGGGCCACTGGTCTGAGTCTGAGGTTGGTCTCACCATGAACAAGGCCCTGCAGTGTACCCTCTGCCTCCCACTCTCCTGTCCTGAGTTTGCCACACTTCATACCAGGCGAATGCCTCCTTTCTGGTGGGCCTTCTCCCTGCAGGGACCCTGGCTGTCAACAGAGCCCACAGCAGGGGCAGCCCCCCGACCACCAGTCTGAGACTAGCTAAGGACCTGGCGGGGGCCCTGTGATTCTGTAGGGTGCTGTGATGGGGAGCACTCTGGACCTCTGCCCTCAGCCCTGTAGACCGGAGATGTCAGAGACACAGAGTGCCAGTGCCAGGAGGAAAGAGGAGCTGTGAGGGAGGTAGACAAGAGCTTTAAGGTAAGCAACTGGAGTTGGTGTGAAAACCACCCAACAAACAGGCCCGATTGAGGGCAGGCACACCACCCAGGGCCAGGACCCAGTCTCCTGGAAACAGTTCAGTGAACCAGATGACTGCACACCAGTCCTGCAAAGCCCCATGGGCAAATCCTGGTCTCAAAAAATGTCATTGTATTTTGTCTACTAAGTGCCATTATATGCAAGCTCAGAGAACTAAACTTGTGGAAGAAAATTATTATTGGGTGTATTATTGGGTGTATAATTTATGATTTATCTGTAGTTAGGAATTGTTAGTATTTAAGGTTTGAAACAACTAAACACCTGCACCTTGATAGTGGGTTAAACAACAGCTTTTTCTTTTTTGAGACACTCTCAGTCACCCTTGGCAGAATGTCATGGCGTCATAGTTCACAGCAACCTCAGACTCTTGGGCTCAAGTGATCCTCTTGAGTAACTGGGTTTACAGGTGCCTGCCTTGGGGGACTGATAAGTTTTCCATTTTTTTCTTCTACGTTCTTGAACTTTTGGGCTCAAACAATCCTCCCTTTGTTTAGGCTGGTCTTGAACTATTGGGTTTAAACAATCTTCCCGCAGAGTGGTGGGGGATTGAAGGAGGGAGACATTATATTCAGCACTGGGGAGCAGAAAACCCACCAACTCATGTGCTGGCTGCACTGGGACCTCCGTCCCACACACACGCAGAGGGTCTGCTGCACTGGGAAGTTCCTTTGTGAGGAAGAGAGGACCTACAGACTACTCAGGGGGGCCTCCCCAGCACAGGAGACTGCTGCCCCTGGGGAGGGGACCTGCTCCTGCAGGGTCTTCCCACCAGGTGGGGCTCTGCAGCAGCGTGTGGGCTGCTCCCACCACCCCTGCCGGCACAGAAGGCAGGACCACAAGACATAGGGCTGTCCTTGTCCTATGAGCAGGGAACAGTGTGCTGGAGTCTGGGCTGCCTTCTGTGGAGTCAGTCTGCTCTAGTGGTGCCTGACAGGTGGCTTCCCCCTTCCTGTGTAGACCCTTCGGCTACATTTACCCCACTAGAACGCAGGGGAGTAGGGACATGAGTGGGGCGGGGGACTGGGGACACCAGGTGAACCCCAGGATCAGCAGCATGGCCCACCGCCCCCATGCTGTCTTCTCAGAAGCTGTGCCAGCCCCCAGCTCAGTCGGTGGCAGGATGGAGTGACTGTCCTGCCTACCATCCTGGCCTTTGGCCATGCCCAGGGCCTTTCCTTCAGCTGCTGTGGGCCCCATGCTCTTGCTCACACCCAGCTCCCCCCACCAACTTCGCTGAACGTGCTGAGTGGTCCCTGCTTACCGCCATCTATCTTTCCAGGGTTCTTCTCTTTGGAAGGTCATTTGGCAGATTCTACTCAATATTTTAGATAAGCATCACACGCTGATGCTGAATTCAGGGTCTGGAAACTGCCCCCGGGGACCATCTGTACAGGAACAGAAATGACCACACACCTTATGAGGTGGAGACAGGCACCAAACGAGGCCTCCTGGGAAGCAGCAGCCCCAGCCAGGTATTCCGAAGGACCCCTGTGCTGGGTGCTGCCAGTGGGCCACTGGCACAGTTCAGCCTAGAGAGCGAGCAAGAACCAGTCAAGGATGCTGCCTGGTAGCTCGAGTTAGTCCTGTGCAGACATCAGCAGGAAGCCCACACCTGCAACCTCTTCCTTTCAAATCAGAATGCCAACTCCTTAAAGGATCCAAACCCAGCGTGTCCACCGCAGAGGAGACTGACAAGGTGCCAGGCATGAAGACCACTGTGCCTCGGGGGTCCTCACATTTTCCCCTTTCTGGATGGGGGTCTGCAACCTTCCTGTTCCTGAACATGGAGCCCAAAAGCAGCTGAGCACTGTATGCCTGGCTGTGAATGCTGACAGAGTGGCAGGCCCACTCTATGCAATGCAGACTAAGCCACGGAGCCCTGACACTAAAGGAGCCACACACAGTGGCTCAGAAGAGGACAGGCACCCAGGCGCCAGGCACTAGAGACTCCCAGGGCAGGAGGGCCTCTGAGCACATGCTAATGAGGTGTTTCAAAGAGGGGGACTGGGTGTGCCTCAGAGGCAACCCTGCCTCCCCCAGCCCAGTCCTCCATACCCACCACCAGAGGACAGTGGGGCAGATACCAAAGTGCCCTCCCAGGCAGGGCAGGACACCAGCCCCTGGTGTCATGCTGGCACTGACAGAAGAGCACACAACAGGCTGGGCTGCAGTAGGGGCATGGGGACAGGCTGGGATGCAGCCTGTTCCCTGCTGGCCACAGGCTGAAGTCTGGAGATGGCTGTGCAGCCGGCATCTCTGCGGTAAAGCCCTGCTGCCTCCCAGCTTCCCAAAGCAGAAACACAGGACACAGCGCACAGTGAACAAAAGCACCCATTAAATGGTTTTATTGGAAACTGGTTAAAAATTAAGGCACTCCAATTTTATGGTGTCCTTGAGATTACAGCTTTGTGGCTGCTCTTAGTACTAAATCAGAGAAATCCCAGGCACAGAACAGCCCACATTCAGAAGAGCAGTGTGGTTTTCTACACATACGACTGAATGAATACAAAGTTCACTAGAGTCTACTAGAAAGTTTTTATGAATAAACAGTAGAAAATCAGATTTTGAAGGCAGCTATAAAATACTTAGAAAATCTCTGTAATACTTTAAGTTACTACAAATGCCCAAGAAGTCAGACTAAAGAATGTTAGTTACGTTCTTAGTTTGTGAAAATTTCAGGATGAACTGTTAGTTCACGCCACAGTCACAGTTAAAAGGGCTCATCGGAGTGTGTGATGCTGGATCACAACAGTGACCGTCTATGAGCCTGATTCCTGCTGAGGATAGTTCCCTCTCAGCGTTGTCAAGGGTGTGAAAATGGAATGCATCACTTATTTTAGGTGCTGTCAACCTATTTTCCCAAAGCAAAACTTTTAAAAATTCAAAGCAATCTGGCAACTGGGACCATTCTCAAATCTGTTTTAGGTACAAATGCAGAGCTTTCCACACAGGAATGTCACTGTGTTTTGCTTTCCCTGCCATGAAGTGCTTGGTGCATTTACTGAAGTCACACACTTGATTTTAAGGAAACGCATTACATGACAGGCTCACCCCCGCAGGCACTCAGAGCACTGTCAGGGAGCTCTCAGAGAGGCTGACTCGGAAGGGGGAGCACTGGTAGCAGAGTGATCTCTCAGGGCAGGATACTTCCCAGCGCCTGCTGGGTGCTGGGTGCGGAGCCCTTGCTGACCCTGGGCATGCTGCATCCACGGTGCATGGCCCTCCCTAGAAGGGCTCATTAGTGGGCTAGCCCCTGCCCTCTCCTTGGGTAGAACTCCAGCACTGGTGATTCCAGAAAGCCTGATGGGCGGGTATGGGGATCTGCAACTTGTGCCAGACCCTGAGGGTGTCACCCAGGCTGGACAGAGAGCAGTGTCACTCTCCTCCTGCAATTGGTCTCACAGCAGCCCTCAGAGACAGGGCTGAAAACCACATTTATAATTCAAGTTTCTACTGGGAAAAAGATTTTCATGGTCTGTTAAAGATACAATTTTTAAAAGTTGTCCAATAACTTACATGAAAGTTTTTTTTTGTGAAATCTTTTAACTGGGGGTCGGGGGAGAGGAATCATTTAATCATTTAAAAGAATTAGGGTGATTTTACATATTCTTTGATGCTATTCCACACAGTTGAGGTTAGGAGGTGGGTCCCTACTAGAACCCCAAATGTGCTGGAACCCCACCTCATCAGCAAAAGCCACCTGAGTCAACACAGGTGTAGATTCAGACGGGATGGGCACACCAGGCCGTACACACACAGTACAGAGATGCTGTTCCTGGTTTTATGTGGAAATGATGAGAGACTGGTGAATTCTCCCCACAACAAAAGAAGAATGACTTTGACTTGTTACTGTGTGACGCTTCTCCGAGTGTGAAGCTTGTTAGTGGGCAGAAAGGAACTCAAGAGTTCTGCTGCCCGACAGAATGAACAGCAGCAGTGAGTTAGTGCTGTTAGGCTGCTTAGTTTGTGATGAGCTTATAAATCAAGGAAAGTAATTGAATAGGTACATTTCCTCCTCAGAAGAACAAAAACAAACCCCCCAAAGGTTTGCTGTCCCAAGTGACTACAGAAACAGAGATAACAGGAAACAGAACAGAAGGTCATAAGTTTTCAGGGACAAGAGACGGATTGTCCTTTCAAGGCACCTCCCCAAGCAGCCAGTTGTAAGGGACTGGCAGGTGCACAGTGTCAAGGTCGGTGTCAAGGTCAGGAGATGGGCAAGGATAGAGCCTCCCTGCTGGATGATGCTAAGGGTGCATACCACACGCAGCTCTGGATTGCTCTGGAGTGTGTCAGTTGTTTTCAAATCTAGCATATGGGTTTTCTTCTTTAAACAAACCTGTTTTGAAAAAAGAATAAACCTGAATTATAAATCCCTTCACTAAAACAACAAAATTTTAAAAAGCCATAAAGTTAACTAAGTCTGACACGAAGCCCTGCCAGGTGTTCTTTTTTTTTTTTTTTTGAGACAGAGTCTCACTTTGTCACCCTCCGTAAAGTGCCATAGTGTCACAGCTCACAGTAACCTCCAACTCTTGGGCTCAAGCCATTCTCTTGCCTCAGCCTCCTGAGTATCTGGGACTATAGGCACCCAGCACAACACATGCTATTTTTAGAGACAGGGTCTTGCTCTTACTCAGGCTGGTCTCAAACTTCTGAGCTCATGTGATCTGCCCGCCTTGGGCCTCCCAGTGTGCTAGGATTATAGGCGTGAGCGACCACGCCCGGCCACACACATTCTTTCTCTTTAAAAATCTATTTAATCTGCCAAAATTATCTGGAGCAATGCAACAAATCTCCTTTCTACAGGTTTTTTGGCAGAGGTGATGGGGGTGGGGGGAGATAACCATAACAGAGGGAGAGGCAGCAGGGAGGTGGAGAGGAAAGAACAGGATCACAGCCCTTTCTCACTTGTCAAAGGAGACCACAGGGGCCAGGCTTTAAGGGATGAGGCTCAATGTCAGTTTCAGTGACCAGCTATGAGACACAAAGGCCAGAAATGAGCAGCCTTGTCCAGCTCTACTTTTATTTAAAGGGGAAAACCAAAATCAAAGGAAAGGTTTTGCGAATGCACTGGTATTTGTATAATTCCAGAGTTTTCTCTAATGGAGAACTCCTGGGAATTCTTCCCCATCCTTGAGGCTTTCCAAAGTGCAAGCCACTCTGTATTTGTCATAAGCTGGCACAAAGAGATAATTTCATTAGTACGATTAAAGGGCCAACTTAAAAACCAGTGAGACACTCAGTCAGTGCACGATCCAGAAGACCAGCTCCACTGACAGTCCTTCCACACACTGGGGGCCCAAGCAGAGCCAAGGTCAAGCAGTTTTGTTTTGTTTTTAGAGACAGAGTTTTACTTTGTCGCCCTTGGTAGAGTGCCGTGGCGTCACAGCTCATGGCAACCTCCAGCTCCTGGGCCTAGGTGATTCTCTTGCCTCAGCCTCCTGAGCAGCTGGGATTACAGGTGCCCATCACAACGTCTGGCTATTTTTTGTTGCAGTTCGGCTGGGGGTTGGGCTCAAACCTGCTACCCTCAGTATATGGGGCCGGTGCCCTACTCACTGGGCCACAGCCACCACCCAGGTTGAGCAGTTTTAAACACTACTTGTGAGCCTGTGCCTTTTGTTTACCTTAATGCTAATCAGATGTGGAAAAGCTCTCCAGCCTGGCACAGACACACAATGGCCGATCCTGAACTGCACAAGCGTGCACTCAGTGAGGGGGGATGATGACATTGTGGAGCCCAGTCCCCATCTATGCCACACATACCAAAACACGGGACATGGAGGGCCAGCTCTGGGGAAGGAACAGCAAAGACAATCCTGAATTGGGGGCAGAACGGGCTCAAAGACAACAGCCTGACAACTTCAGAGATGCTCAGAAGCCAGCCACTGCCCAGGCACAAAGAGAACACTGCAGGGCAAGAGCACAGGAGGGCAGGCTCTGCCAGCAGCTGGACATCTAGCTCCCTCATAGCAGAGGAACTGGGGCCTAGGAGCAGCAGGAGAGCCTCACAGCTAGAGATGACCAGAGGCCTCAACAGACAGGGGAGGAACATCCCAGCCAGGGCAGAGCCAGCCCTGCACATACATACTCATCCAACAACGCCTGTCAGAAAGAGGTGACTGTTCAGTGCTGCTCCTGGGCTTTGCTCTAACGTGGTCTCCCCAGATGACTGTGACAAATCACAATGACATGATGTCCCTAGTGGGCAACACCCTAACATCCCACTAAAATGTGACAGTTCTTTATACAAAGGGGGACTCCAAAAGGAACATGCATTACAAAAAGATTTGGGGGCAGCACCTATGGTTCAGTGAGTAGGGTGCTGGCCCCATATACTGAGGGTGGCAAGTTCGAACCTGGCCCCTGCCAAACTACAACAACAAAAAAAAATAGCCAGGCGTTGAGGAGGGCGCCTGTAGTCCCAGCTACTCGGGAGGCTGGGGCAAAAGAATTGCCTAAGCCCAAGAGCTGGAGGTTGCTGTGAGCTGTGACACAACGGCACTCTACTGAGGGTGACAAAGTGAGGCTGTCTCTAAAAAAAAGATTTTGAACTTTTCCAGATCAGATTTAGCCTGTTAACATAGTGATTTGAAGTAAGTGCAGCAGGCTCAGTCCTGGAGATGCCCTGAGGCCCTGCAGCCACCAGGTCCAGACAGGGGAGGAGCCAGTTCCATCATACCTGGCACCATCACACAACCAAAAAACCTGCCCAGAAAACATCAATACTTTTTTTTTTTTTTTGGCTGGGGCTGGGTTTGAACTGGCTGCCTCCGGTATATGGGGCCGGCACCCTACTCCTTGAGCCACGGGTACCGCCCACACATCAATACTCTTTACGGACTTTTAATATCATGTAAGTAGGGGGAGTACAGATAGTTTAAAGTATATTTCCAATTCACTCCAATTAAATGAAAAGTTTACACTTGACACTCATGTCTATTCTGGCTATTTCAGAGTCTCCCCCTAGAATCTCCCCAAATAAAACCAAACAAGAACAACATCTAGAAGACACGGTGAGAGGAACTACAGCCTCAGTTTCTGTGACTTCTCTGAAAAAGGAATATCGCAGGCGACACTGAGATTGAGTACCACACACCCCATGGACAGAGGGGTGCACTCAGGACAAGGACAGGAGACTGGGGCACCAGCCTCATTAAGGCTCAAACAAGATGACAAACAGCTGCACACAGGCCATTCTGGAAGTTTTTATACTCTCTGAACAAACAAGCATCCAAGAAAGCACACGTGCTGAAGAAGTCCAGTGAGACGCAGGGCTCCTCATCTGGCTCTTGAGATGGCAGTGGAGCGAGCTGACCACAGCACCACCCGCAATGATGCTGAACCCACAGGACAGAACCTGCAGCCCAATCCTCAGCTGCATCTCACTTGGCATTAACGAGGACCAAGACAGCCTGGTGTCAAAGCCCAGCCCAACCGACTGAAAAGGAAACAATTCTTACCATATTTTTTTCTGATTTCATCATGTCTTGATTTCATCTCAGCTCGCCTAAGAAAGAAAGAAAGATTGTTAGTACCAAACTACAAAGTACAACATAACATGCCCTGCAGCCTCCTTCAGCAGAGGCTGCAAGATCCCTCCCGTGGCCTTCCCCCAGTTCCCGGAACGAGACAGGGTGGGGATAGGCTTGGCCATAGGGCCATATCCTTGTCAGGACAGGCAGGGCAGTGGCAAACAGTCTTTGCAGCTGCTCCAAAATATTGTCCTATTCTTTTCAACAAAAGTATAATTAAAATCCCAGTATTTTTAAAAAGTTTTTTCATATAAAGAAAATGCACTTTTAGGCTGGGCACCTGGGACCTAAGAAAATGCACTTTTAAGTCTCAAGCTAGATTCTGAAGATGGTTAGGAAAAGGTGATCATTAGCCTTTATTTAGTAGCACATGACCTCAAGGTGACCACATGGAAGGTCTGTCCAGCCTCCCTCTACCCTCACCAGCTGCCAGTCCCACAAATCAGCCCCTTAGTTCTTCCCTTTAACCAGGTGTGGATGACACAAGCCACCTCAACTGCCCCCAGGGCTGCCAGATGGCCCCTGCAACACATTCAGGACAGTGCTGTGTCAGAGACTGGTGGTGTTGGACCCAACTCAGCCACGGACAGATCCTGCCCAGGCTGTCGCCTCTTGAACCTTACTATAAATGCAAGGGGCTAGACTAACATCCTTCAAGGACTCCACCACTTTACAGTTATAACAAACAGCCATTAAACTGCAAACACAAATGTTTTGCCTGCCAGTTACCAGCAGCTGCAACCCTAGTTGCTCAACTGGAGGACATGGACAGGGGAGCACAAACAAGGGTGCCCACACGCACTTTCTCCTCACTTTCCTACAACCTGGAAATTCCACGGATACTGAACACATTCTTAATTTCTAAAAACTAAGAAAACTCAAGGCTTATTTCCATGGCCTTCCAAAACTTCCATGTGGGAGGCGGAGACCCCCACCTCTCCTCCTGCCGCATCCGCCGCTCTTCCCGCTCTCTCACTGCCTTCTCGTCACTCTTGTCCAGTTTCCGACTCCTTTTCCTCCGGCAGCAGCAGCAGCAGCAGCAGACGGCAACACCCAGGAGAATAGCTGCCCCCACCACTGACATGGTGATAATCAATGCCTCAAAGTTCACTGGAAAAGCAAGCATGCTGAGTTAGACCGACGTTAAGCATTAGAACCCGCCACTCTGGAGAATGATCTCAGAACACCCAGCTGCTGGCTCCAGGGTCTTGGAGAGCCCATGGCTGTGCCCCCGTAATAGGGTCCCAGGAGGGCTCTCTTGGAGTCTTTCTTTTTTTTTTTTTGAGACAAGAGTCTCACTTTATCGCCCTTGGTAGTGTGCCGTGGTGTCACAGCTCACAGCAACCTCCAACTTGTGGGCTTAGGCAATTTTCTTGCCTCAGCCTCCTGAGTAGTTGGGACCATATGCTCTGCAGTCTCCTTCAGCAGAGGCTGCAAGATCCCTCCTGTCGCAACAGGAGCCTACCACATCGCCCAACTATTTTTTGTTGCAGTTTGGCCAGGGCTAGGTTTAAACTCGCCACCCTCAGTATATGGGGCCGGCACCCTATCCATTGAGCCATAGGCACCGCCCGACTCTTGGAGTCTTTCAACCACATATACGGATAACTACAATGAACTGAAGTGATAAGACAGCTTTTCTCACTTGATATTGAAAAGATGTTTTTCATGCCTATAATCCTAGCACTCTGGGAGGCAAGGTGGATGGATAGTTTGAGCTCAAAAGTTGCAGAATAGTCTTAGCAAGAGACCCCGTCTCTAAAGATAGCCAGGTGTTTTGGTAGGCGACTACAGTCTTAGCTACTGAGGAAGGTGGATCACTTGAGCCCAGGAGTTTGAAGTTGCTGTGAGCTGTGACAACATAACACTCTACCCAGGGCGACAAAGTGAGACTGTGTCTTGAAAAAATAAAAAAAAAAAATAGGGAGGAGGAACAAGATGACAGCCGAGTAACAGCTTCCTTGCAACTGGGGAAGAGAAGACTCCAGGCATCTCTGGCTGGTGGGATCTGCCCAGAGACATCCCTTTGGGGACACAGGGAGTCAGCTAGAGACTTCTTGGACCCCATAAGGAGGAAAAAAGCAGTGGAGAACTGGCACGTGGTTGCGTGTGTTCATTTGGTCTAATCCCGCTGGCAGCTTTAAGTACAGCAGCAGTGAGACTGCAAACTGGAAAGGCCTTACCTGTGAGCGGTTTTTTTTTTTTTTGGACTTGGCACTCAGTTGATCTACCTTGGGAGAATTCAGGCAAGAGAGCGGAGGACTTTAAGCATCGTCTAGGGCCCCAGGCTAAGCCGCTGAGCCAGAGGGAGCTAATAGTGTTCGGTTGTGGGCCACGCAGAGCCATCATGGGAGAGAACTGCCATGGCAAACTCCACCCTCAGGGTCAGAGAGCAAGGATCGGGTGGGAGCAAGTAATCTAGTGACTGAGCAGCCTAAAGGTGGGGACTGAGACACCTTGCAGCCTTGGCCCTCAGGGGCATAGTGTGAGATCAGTTTTGGCACACTGGGTAAGTAGACAGCCACTTTAGGAGTGATCCCAGTGACAAACGCTTTCCTGGGAAAGCTTCTGCTTAGCCAAGGTTAACAGTTTAAAGTGTCTTTTAAGTAGGCTGAGGAGAGATTTAGGCTCTCAACGCTGCAGGGTTTGAGAAATCAGCAGAGGCCTCCAGTCTCCATCTCATACAGCTGTATCAGCGTTGTGATTAACATCTCATACCCCAGAAAATCACCTGTTACCCAGATAACATTCAGCAAGAGATATATACACATATACATACACTGCTTTGTTTGTTTTTAATTTAAACATTTTCCCTCTAAATTTTTCTTTTCTTTCTTCATTTTTCTAGTTTAAATATAATTTTCCATTGTTGCCTTCTTTAACAATTAGAACATCATTTCTGCTCAAGTTTCTACCCCTTATTTTTTTTTTTTTCCTGTAAAGTTTTCTGTTTGCGTGTTTTGGTTTGATTTATAGCATTTTTGTTTTTCCTCTCTACTTGGTGGAGGTGGGGTACTGTGTCCAAACAGGCTAGCAAAGAGCTGCAGACCTCAAGGAAACCACCCAACCCGGCACCCCCAGAGGTTAGGTCAAAGTACCCTACTGTACACCTACATTGCTCCTGTCTCCCTCTTTCTGTGCCTCTCTTCTTTTTGTCAGTATTCCCTTTTACTCACCCCCCTTTCCTTTCTCTTTTTTCTTTTCTTTTTTTTTCTTTTTTCCTTTCTTGCTCTTTAATCTTCTCATTCTTTTAGTCCTATACCAAAAGGACTCATTGAAGCCCTAGTCCAGAGGCATGGTAACTTAAAGAGCAAGAGGAAGTGAAAGGAAAATTAGGGCCAGGAAACAGATAAAAGAAAACACTCATGAGGAAGAACCAGCAGAAAAATCCTGGTGACATGATAAACCAGTCCAGAGCAACCCCCCAAGGGACCGTGAGGGAGCTACTGCAGAGGATCCCACCTCTAAAGAAATGTTAGAAATGACAGAAAGGGAATTTAGAATACAGAGGATGAAAACAATGGAAACAATGAAGGAAACTGCTGATAAAGTGGAAAATAACCAAGAGGAAATCCAAAAACAGAATCAAGTAAGAGATGAACGATATGAAGAATACAGAAAGGACATAGCAGAGCTGAATGAACTGAAGCAGTCAATTAGGGAACTTAAAGATGCAACAGAAAGTATCAACAACAGATTAGACTATGCAGAAGAAAGGGTCTCAGAGGTAGAGGATAAAGCTCTTGAGATAACTCAGATAGTTAAAGAGACAGAAAAGAAGAGACAGAAAGCAGAATGTTCACTGACAGAATTATGGGACTTTATGAAGCGTTCAAACATATGAGTTATAGGTATCCCAGAAGGAGAAGAGGAATGCCCCAGGGGAATGGAAGCTATACTAGAGAATATTATAAATGAAAATTTCCCAAATAGTACCAAAGATTCTGATACACTCCTTTCAGAGGGACTTCCAACCCCAGGTCACCTCAACTCTAACCAAGCTTCTCCAAGACACACTGTGATGAACCTGTCCAAAGTCAAGACAAAGGAAAAGATTCTGCAAGCTGCCAGGAGTAAGTACCAGTTGACCTACAGGGGCAAATCCATCAGGGTGACTGCAGACTTCTCTTTTTTTTCTTTTTTTTTGAGACAGAGCCTCAAGCTGTCCCCCTGGGTAGAGTGCCGGGGCATTACAGC